AAAAAAAAAAAAAAAAAAAAGGAGAAGAAAACATTAAAATGGTGACTAATTTATCAAGGTTAAAGCCTATAGGAGATGAGTTGAGACTTTGTTGGAACATGAGTAAGGAAAGGAACGGTAGTCGTCAACATTAATTAGATGATTGGAATAAGTATTAAAAGGGTAGTACTAATAGTCGTCACCAAATTAAAATACTTGCAAATTGCAATTCTAATAACATATCACCAACTTTGATCACTCTTTTTATTTGCTTTTTCTCTTTAAATGTCGATTGTCGAGTACGGAGTGGAATTCAAGATTGGCTGTTAATCCAATATGAAAAGTTCAGATAGGATATGCTTGGAAATCTCAGAAAAAATATGTACATATAAATACCAGAAAGCAAAGACGTAAATCATATAGTCTAAGAAGACAGTTTATTTAGTGTCACAAAATCAAATATTCTTTCATTTTTGACTTGAAGTAGTAATTCTAGTTTTCTATTTTTAAGAACCCTAGTACATAAACCAAAAATCTGCTGATGCTTCCTAATGCCTTTTATTTGGTTTCGCACACGGTATTTACTATCCACATTAGGGTCCGACTAATCCTGATTAAGACCGCATAATACTATTAATTAAAGAGGGAAACACTTTTTTATTCCTAGGGTTCGAACATAAGGCTGTATTGTGGTCCGGGCCCAGCCCGGGACCGCGAGCCCACATGGGCTTTGGGCTAAACGGGCTGGCCCGTATGGTCTGGTCCCAAGCAGTCTTAAGAGCCCACTATGGGCCGGTCCTGCACGTAGAGACCGTGAGCCCGGGACCGTTTAGCCCAAGACCGGCTGGCGGGCCTGGGCCGGTTCAACCGGGCCCAACGGCTATTTTTCAATTTTTTTTAAAAAAAAATTGGCCAACGGCTGGAAGTTTAAAAACTAGCCGTTGGCCTGCCAATTTAGCCGTTTGGCTTTTTAAAAAATAGTCATTTGCCCCCCAAACTTTGTTTTAACCCCAAACTTTTTATAATTACACTTTTTCCCTATTTTCAACTATAAATACTCCCTCATTCTTTCATTTTTACTCACAAAATCATCCATCTCTCTCTAATTTTCTTCTATAATTCCTTACTTTATTATTGCAATTTGTGAAAAATTGTGAAGTTGGTGAATTGAAGTATTCAAGTCTTCAACGAAGAAGTTGTTCGTCAATTCGGTAAACTCGTTCTAACTCTTAAGTTTTAATATTATAGTTTTGTTTGTTTTAGTTTGTATAATTATAATTAATATGGCCTTTCCTTTGCCATGATATTGCACCAGGTCAACAATTAAATGATGAATATATGAATGCTCTTTATGGTAATCAAACTATCGATGAAAATGATGAGGAAAATGATGATTTAGATGAAATGCAACCGGATTTAGATGATACACCTACTAGTCCTGCTGTTAACCCAACTGATAATAATCCAAATGATGCCCCGCCTGACCCTCTTGTAGTAACCCCTACTTTTAATAGACAACCTTCTAGACGGTGCGAAACATCTCTTGTTTGGCACTTTTTTACTCAACTAAGAGATCAAAATAAGGCTAAGTGTAAAACTTGTGAGACTTTGATGGCTCGTAAATATACTGGAGACCGTAGCGGTATGAGTACTTTGACTAGACACATAAAGACACACCCTAGAGATAAAGCTAGATTTCTTCAAATGAAAGCTGCGCAAGAGAGGACAAGTGCAGGTACTCAGGTTAACCCTAGTACCGGGTCAAATCTAGTTCAACCGGGAATTAACACTGTTACCGGTGGCATTTTATATTACGATCCAAATAAAGATCGTGAAGAATTGGCAAAAATGATTACTGTTATGTGCTTACCCTATAATTTTCCTTTTAACTCTCACTTTGTGCATTATATTAGAAGAGTTTTTAATCCTACTTATAAAGGATGGCCTCGCGCAACCGTAAAGAGCGATATTTATAAATATAAACATGAATTATTTTCGCTATTTATTTACTCATATAAATTGTTGCATTGCTATTACTACTGATATTTGTAGAAGTGGTAATCACTGTGATTATCTTACTGTTACCACTCATTGGATTGATGAGGAATGGAAAATGCAAAAGCGCAATATACTTATAGAATAATTAATTCACGTCACACAGGTAAGTTTATTGCTAACACAGTTGCAAATATTTGTAGATATTTTTGCATTAGAGATAAAATAATGTCAGTTTCAATGGATAATGCTTCTAGTAACAGTAATTGTATAGGCTTGCAACTACACTTAATCCTGCATTTAGTAATATTTTCCATGTTAGATGCATTTGTCATATTTACCATTTAATCGTCGGTGATGGTATGAAAATATTAAATGTTAAAATTAAAAAGGTTAAAATGGCTCTTGATTGACTTTTTTTATTCAAACTGTAGAAGTAGACTTAGAGAATATTTTAAAAAATGTGATGAATTTGGCCTCAGAGAAAGAAAGGTTCTTAAACCTTGTCCGACTAGATGGAATTACATGTATGAAAGTTTAGTTGTTGCATATGAATATAGAAACCCAATAAATGCAACGTTTAATGCTCGTGTTGGTGGTGCTGATGATGATGAGCACCTTACAAATCAGGATTTGACTAATGTTAAAATGCTTGTAGACTTTTTAGAACAATTTCATGTTGCTACAAATGAATTATCTGGGCAATCAACACTTGCCGATTTGTTTACTCAATTTTTAGAGGGTGGGGTAATTTATCAACTTGCTATTAATTCTATGAAAGATAAGTTTAAAAAATATTTTTTCCCTATCCCCCCTATTTTTGGTGTTGCTGCCATGTTAAATCCTACCATGAAATTAGGAGGTCCTCACTTTTGGTATACAAATATTTATAAGGCTTTATCACTTTCAGATAAGGAATTTGTTACACTTGCAGATGCAAAAACTTCAATTAAAATAAATGCTCAAACAATTTATAATGCTTATCAACTTGCCTTAGATCATGCTAGACCAAATGTTCCAACTCCTACTTTGTCTAGTTTGCAATCATCTAAAAGAACTGCGGGCCTAAAAGTACTTAGTTCTTGGACGGAGTTCAGGGGTTCTCAAGGTGATAATATTGGTGATAGTTCACAACTAAATGAGCTTCAAGTTTATTTGTCGCAGGGACTTGAATCAAAGAATCCCGACGGCTCCTTTGATGTTTTGGAATGGTGGAAGGACAAAGAAAAACACTATCCGGTTCTTTCAAGGATGACTCGAGATATTTTAAGTATTCAAGCTTCAACAGTGGCATCGGAGAGCGATTTCAATCAAGTGAGACTTCAAATCGGTGGTCATTGAGCGTCTATGAGAGAGAGCTTGGAAAAATCAGTACTCTTAGAGATTGGATCCGTTCGGAAAGAAGAAATTTTGGACTTGCTGAATCACAACCGG